TCTGACTCAGCATTAATATTGCTTGGCTGATGAGATGAGTCTTTCACTTCTTGGACTTTCTTGCCAACGTGGACATCCACGCATGCATGGAGTGCTGCATGAGTCTTAACATGCCCCCTCAATCCTATGCAAGACTTAGGAATGAGCTTCAATCTATTTCTGAGATTTGTATAGGATTGTCCAGTTAAAGCTTTGGTAAAAATATCAGCCACCTGCTCATGTGAAGGTACATGTTGCACTGTGATTACCTTACTCTCAACTTTCTCTCTAATAAAATGAAGATCCAACTCAAAGTGTTTTGTTCTAGCATGGTAAACTGGATTTGATGCCAAACAAACTGCTCCTCTATTGTCAACCCATATAGTGCTTGGTTTCTTGAATTTAATCTTGAGTTCACTTAAAAGAGACTGAAGCCACACTACTTCACAAGTAGCTTGAGCAGCACTTCTGTACTCAGCCTCTGTGGAGGATCTTGATACAATTGGTTGCTTTTTAGATGACCAAGATATAAGGTTGCCTCCAAGATAAACACATATTCCAGAAGTTGATCTCCTGTCATCTACATCTGATCCCCAATCTGCATCTGAGAATGTTGTAAGGTTGAAATTAGAACACCTTTCCAAATGCAGACCAAAATCTTTTGTCCCAGCCAGGTATCTTAGAATTCTCTTAACAGCCTTCCAATGTGTGTCAAGGGGACTCTGCATAAATTGACATACTTTGTTGACACTAAATGAGATATCAGGTCTGGTAAGAGTGATATACTGTAGAGCACCAACAATTTGTCTGTATAAATATCCATCAGAGATAGGATTTCCATGAAATTTTGATAGTGCTGGATGAGATACCATTGGAGTTTTCAAATCTTTTGCCCCCTTCATGCCAGCTCTATCAAGGACAGAATCAATGTATTTGGATTGATCAAGAAGAATGCCATTTGAAGTGTAAGAAACTTGAACCCCAAGAAAGAAATGAAGTGGGCCAAGATCTTTAAGAGAGAAATGACTTTTGAGAGAGGCAATAACCTGATCAATGTCTGAAGATTGTGAGCCTGTGATTATGATGTCATCTACATAAGCAAGAATGAAGGTAGATGAGGTAGAGCTGTGTCTGAAAAACAATGAAGGATCAGCTTTGGAGACAATAAAGTTCAAGGAGAGAAGTGTGGCACTGAGAGTAGAGGACCAGGCCCTAGAAGCCTGTTTAAGACCATAGATAGATTTGTTCAATTTGCAGACCAGACCATCAGCTGGTTGTTGTTCAAAGGCAGGAGGTTGCTCCATAAAGATCTCTTCTTGTAGGCTGCCATGCAAGAAGGCATTATCTACATCTACCTGTCTAAGATCCCAGCCAAGAGAGATGGCTAAGGAAAGAATAACTCTGATTGTTGTTGGTTTGACCACAGAGCTAAAAGTTTCTGTGTAGTCAAGGCCTGCATCTTGAGTATAACCTTTGGCTACCAACCGGGCTTTATGCCTAGCAACAGTCCCATCAGGGTTGGTCTTGACTTTAAAAACCCATTTGCAGCCTATAATCTTTCTGTCTGTGGGGGCTGGAACCAGTGTCCAAGTGTTGTTGAGTTGAAGTGCCTCAAATTCATCTTTCATTGCCTTATGCCACTGAGGTGAAGAAATGGCTTGATGGATTGAGGTAGGCTCTACCAAATCAGCTAAGGCAGCAGTGTAAGATTTTGGTTTAAAAATGCCTGCTTTGGATCTTGTCACCATGTGGTGTGTACCTGCTCTTTCAGATGTGTTAGGAATGACATTAGGAGAACCAGTAGAAGCAGTGTTAGAATCAGTGGGCTGCACAATAGGCAAATCAATGATAATTTGTCCTATTTGAATATAAGAAGATTGTGGACTGTTGGAATTAGAGTGAGAGGGTGTAGTGGAGTGAGGAGAATGGTTTGGTGTCTGAGGAGGACTGTGAGGAGATGGAGAAGGAATATTTTGGTGATGTGGAGATGTGGGGGTAGTCCCAATGGATGATGGAGTGGTATCATAGTTTGGAATATCTGTGGAAGAAGATTGAACAAAAGGGGTGGGATGAATGGTGGTAGTGTCTGTGTGGGTTGGGTGACTGCTGTTGGATATGAAAGGAAAAATGGACTCATCAAATAATACATGTCTGGTAATGATAATCTTTTTGGAGGGCAGGAGAACTTTATAGCCTTTGTGAGAAGGGCTATAACCTAGGAAGGTGGATGGTAAACTCTTTGGTTGCAATTTGTGTTGATTATAAGGTTTTAATAAGGGAAAACAAAGACAACCGAATACTTTGAGGTCATCATAGGAAGGGTGTGTACCTGTGAGGAGGTGAAATGGGGTTTTTAAACCAAGTGTTTTTTTTTTAGGTGTTCTATTGATTAGAAAAACACCACTAGAGAATGCTTCATCCCAGTAAGATAGAGGAACACTGGACTGATACAAAAGAGACAATCCTACTTGAACAATGTGTCTATGCTTTCTTTCAGCTAGACCATTCTGTTCTGGGGTATATGGACAAGAAACCCTGGAGTTTATTCCAAGATCAGCAAGAATGGGTTTAAGGGATTGAAACTCACCTCCACCATCACATTGGAAATGTTTAATAGTGCTATGGAATTGGTTTTTGATGAGTGAAATGAGATGCAGAAAGGCATTTTTTGTATCAGACTTGTTCTTTAAAAGGTAAAACCAAACAAATCTTGTTGATCGGTCAATGAAGCTTACATAATACCTGAACCCTCTATGAGAAGTAATGGGTGCTGGTCCCCAAAGATCTGAGTGAATGACTTCAAATGGTTTATATGTATGCAATACAGATTGAGAAAAAGGTAACTTATGAAACTTTGACTGCATACACACATTACAAAATAAGGTTCTTTCATTATCAAGAAATGGCACATTACATTGCTGCAAGGCAGCTTTTACAATATCATAAGAGGGGTGGCCTAATCTGTTGTGCCATGTTTCTAAAGAAAAAGTGGTCTTCAAAACTGCTGCATTGCAACTTGATTGAGGTGAAGTTGAAACTGGTTCAGTTGGTTGTTTGATGGACTGAGGTGGATTGGTGGAATCATTGGTGAGCTCAAAACAGTAAAGTCCATCTTTAATAGTTCCTTGGAGTAAAGTTGTTCTTGTCTTGAGGTCCTTCACAAAGCATAGATGAGGATGAAATTCAAAAAAGACATGATTGTCTTTAGCAAACTGTGAAACACTTAGCAAGTTTTTAGTGATTTGAGGAATATGCATGAGGTTTTTGAGAAGGAAGACATTGGATTTGTTGGAATAAGGACTAATCATCATTGAACTACCTGTGTGTGCTATAGCCATACCTGATCCACTAGCTGTCTGAATCCTCTCATTTCCTTGATATTCAGATGCAATGCTCAAATTAGAGAGGTCATTTGTCAGATGATGAGTGGCTCCTGAATCTGGAAACCAAAGGAGATCTTGAGTTCCTTCTGATGACTGGTTTCCATAGCTAGCAATATTAGCAGACAGTGTTCCTTCAGAGGAATTAGGGCTGTTTTGAGATCTTGGCACAAAGTGAGCATCAAACCGGTAGTAACACTTATCTGCAGTGTGGTTATTGTAACCACAAATTTGGCATCTTGCTCTATTTTGGCCTGAGGAGCCTCTACCACCTCTACCTCTATATCCTCTTCCTGTGCTTCTTCCTCTATTAGCTTGACCAAATCTCCCTCTTGTTGCATTTGATCCTCTTCCCCTTGAACTATAAGTGGCCACATTAGCATTAGCATTGGAGTTAGTTGCTATGTTGGCTGCAAAATAAGATCCATCTGATTCACTTCCTCCTTCCATTGCCTCTAATCTGCTCTTAAAGCTCAAGAGAATGGAATAAGCTTCCATAATGGGAAATTTCTCAGATCTAGTTAAAGCAACCACCACTGGGTTGTATTCTGAGCCAAGGCCTGCCAGGAGATGTAGGATTTGGTCACTCTCATCTAACCTTTGTCCTGCAGCAGCCAAAAGATCACAGATCCCTTTCATTTTGTTATAGTATTCTCTCATTTTCATGTTGCCTTTCTTGAGGGTCTGCAGCTCAAGCTTGAGTTGCATTTGCTTGGCTAAGCTATGGCTTGCAAACCCAGATCTGAGGGAGTTCCAGATCTTCTTTGAGGTGCTCAGGCCCACTAGTGTGACAAGAATATTTTCAGATAAAGATGATAGAAGCCAAGAGGCAATGAGCTGGTCTTGTTTGACCCAGTTGATGTAGGATCTGTTCACTATGGGATCTCCTGAGGTTGGATCTAAAGAAAGCTTTTCAGGTTCTTCAATTTCTCCTGTGAGATATCCAAGTAATCCATATCCTCGAAGTGTGGTCACGATTTGTTGTTCCCAGATTAAATAATTGTTGTCATTGAGTTTTACTGAAATGAGCTGACTTTGCAGCTGGACAATGTTGTCACCTTGGCTTGTTCCAGCTGCCATGACAAGTAGGGAATCAAAAGAAAGGAGAAAATGAAAAAGATGGATCAGAGTCTAACCAAGAATGGCTAGCTCTGATACCATAAAAGAAAAATCAAAACACATTATCATGAAAGGATAAGACTCCATTAATGCCCATAGCTGTTTTTCATGCATTTAGTAATCTGATATTTCTATGTCCTACTTTCTCTATACAAGTAATTTCCTTTTATATCAACAAGTAACTATTCATGACCCTAGGATGTCTTTCACGTGCCATCTCTCTCCTGCAGCCCGTTGGATCATATTGCATGCTTTTAGGGCTTCTGCTTTTGTTTTCTTGTTCAGTCAACATGTGGTTCTTCCTTCTTTGTTTTATCTGCACGTTTTCTGACTCAGCATTAATATTGCTTGGCTGATGAGATGAGTCTTTCACTTCTTGGACTTTCTTGCCAACGTGGACA